GGTTCTAGATGTGTGTATGAGGTTCTATAAGGTGATGAAATTATAGAAGTCTATGAACTATAGGGTTCTAGAAGTGTCTACTGAGTTCTAAAGGCATGCGTTGGGTTCTAGATATGTCTGCAGGGTTCTAGAGGTGTCTGCAGGGTTCTAGAGGTGTCTGCAGGGTTCTAGAGATGTCTGTGGGATTTGAGAGGTGCCTGTGAGGTTCTAGATGTGTCTACTGGGTTCTAGAGGTGTCTAAGGGGTTTCTAGAGGCATCTACGGGGTTCTGGTGATACCTGCAGGATTCTCAGGCCATCCAGGCGCTTCCAGGGCTGTCCTCGAGGTCCCGAAGAAGATCCAGCAGGTTCTCACTTTTCCTGGACTTGTCTCCCTCCCCTGGCTTCCTCCCCCAATTCCGTCTGTTCCTCCAGCACCACCTTGATTGTGGATCTCGTTTCGTTGGACATGGTGGCCATCACCTTGATGGGGCCGTGGCTCAGCTGGGTGGTCCCGTGGCTCTTGCCCACGACGACGCGGATGAATTTGATGTCCAGGCAGGAGCTGGAGTAGGTTCCCTTGGCCATGCGGATGTAGGTGGTCCCCAAATCTCCCAGGTGGGCCTTACCTGGGGACAGCTCCAAGCTCAGCTCCCTGGAGAACTTGCAGAAGGTGTTGGGGTTGGAGAACTGGATGGCCAAGGTGAAGGAGTCGGCCTCGTAGGCCAGGACCCCCGAGAGGCCCCCTAACTGTATGTCACCTGAGAAGTGGCAGGTGTCACTGGAGCGGGGGAACAACTCCGGCAGGAGGGGCCTGGAGCAGCGGCCACAGTTAAAGAAGATCCTGGGGGGAGAAACCTGGTGGGGTCAGTGGGAGATGCTGGTGGGACCAGCAGGGGATGGAACAACCCCCAGGAGTTGATCCCACTCCTGGAAATTGATCCCTCCACGGGATGGAGATCCCACCCAGAGATGACTCCAAGGGGTCCCCCCAAAGCCCCCCCAGCCTCACCTGGGGTTCTTCAGGATGATGTTCTGGGTGTTGTTGGAGATCTGGAACTCCACATAGCGGCTGCTGCCCAACCCCATCCTGGCTCTGGGATCTCCTCAACTCCGGGATCTCAGCTCTGAAATCTCCTCAGCTCTGGGATCTCCTCAGCTCTGGGATCTCCTCAGCTCCGGGATCTCCTCAGCTCCAGGATCTCAGCTCCAGGATCTCCTCAGCTCCAGGATCTCAGCTCCAGGATCTCCTCAGCTCCAGGATCTCAGCTCAGGCTCTCCCTGCTTCCAGACCCTTCTCCCCCCACTCCGGGCTCTCCTCCCGCTGTTCCCAGCACAGCCGGGAACGTTTCTCCCCAAAAACGACCCCTTTGGGATCAAACTGACCAAAAACAGTCGCAGATTTCTTGAGAGCTTTGGCTTTCACTTTTGCCGGGGACTTCCCAAACCCACTCCCTTCCTCCCTGCCCCTGGAATTGAGGCACTTGGGTTTGGGGCGGGACGGAAAGAAGTGTTTTCTTGGAAATGTTAGTTTGTACAGGAATGGGATCCTGAGGAATTGTGTGACTCCAAAAGGCGGCGGGACCGGCAGGGAACAGCGCCGGCTGTGCTGGTAAACACCAGGAGGAGACCCTGGAGTGAGGGGAGAAGGGTCTGGAGCCAGGGAGAGGCTCCACCAGCATCTCCCACTGACCCCACCACGTTTGTCCCCTCCAGGATTGTCTATGGCCACGAGTACTGCTCCAGGCCCCCCCGGCCAGAGTTGTCCCCTGGCTCCAGTGACTTCTGCGTCTTCTCAGGTGACTCCATGCTCTGGGGTATGGTGGGGCTCACAGACGTGAACGGGATGCTGCTCTACGAGGCCGACTCCTTCACCTTGGCCGTCCGCTTCTCCAACCCCGTCGACCACAACAAATCCTCCGCGGAGCTGAGCTTGGAGCTGTCCCCAGGAAGGGACCAACTGCGCGATTTGGGGACCACCTACGCCCCCGAGGACAAGGGAACCTGCTCCAGCACCCGCGTCGTCGTGAGCAAGAGCCACGGGACCGCCGAGCTGAGCTACGGCCCCGTCAGGGTGATGGCCACCATGTCCTGTGACGCGAGCTCCGCAATCGAGGTGGTGCTGGAGGAGCAGAGGGGATGGGGAGGGATACCCTGGTATCTCTGGGAAGACACGTCCAGGAGAAGTGAGACCCTGCAGGAGCTTCTTCGGCGTCTCAAGGACAGCCCTGGAAACGCTGTGCCGGATGCCCTGAGCATCCTGCAGGCATCACTAGAACGCCGTAGGCGCCTCTAGAACCCCATAGATGCATCTAGAACCCTGGAGACACCTCTTAAACCTTGTAGGACCCTCTAGAACCCCACAGGCACCTCCAGAACTTTTTAGGACCTTCTAGAACCCCATAGACACCTCTAGAACCCCATAGACACCTCCAGAACCTTCTATGACACTCTAGAACCCCACAGACACATCCAGAACTTTGTAGGACCTTCTAGAACGCTGGAGACAACTCCAGAACCCCATGGGCACCTCTAGAACCCCACAGACACCTCTAGAACTTCATAGGCACCTCTAGAACCCTGTAAGCATGCGTAAAATCCCATCGAGACATCTAGAACCCTGGAGACACCTATAAATCATTTTATGACACTCTAGAACCCAACAAGCACCTCCAGAACTCTGTAGGACCTTCTAGAACCCTAGAGACAACTCCAGAACCCCATGGGCACCTCTAGAACCCCATGGGCACCTCTAGAACCCCATGGGCACCTCTAGAACCCCATGGGCACCTCTAGAACCCCATGGGCACCTCTAGAACCCCATGGGCCCCTCTAGAACCCTGGAGACACCTATAAATACTTTTATGACACTCTAGAACCCCGAAGACACATCTAGAACTTTGTAGGACCTTCTAGAACCTTGGAGACAACTCCGGAACCCCATGGGCACCTCTAGAACTCCATGGGCACCTATAAATCCTTTTATGACACTCTAGAACTCCACAGGCACCTCCAGAACTTTGTAGGACCTTCTAGAACGCTGGAGACAACTCCAGAACCCCATGGGCACCTCCAGAACCCCACAGGCACCTCTAGAACTTTTTAGGACCTTCTAGAACCCCGTAGGCACCTCTAGAACCCCTCACAGACCTGAGGAACCTTCAGCAGAACCTCGTGGCCACCAGGAGAACCTCAGAGAAAATTCCAGAACCTTCTGGACACCCCCGGACCCTCACGGACACCGCGGGGTTGGGGTGTCCCCGTCCCCCTTCTCTGGATTTTGGGTTCTCACCCCAAATTCTCTCATCCTTTTTTATTTTGGTGTTTCTCAGTAAAATCGGGATTTTTGGTCTCCCCCTGCAAAAAATTTTGGGGTTGATTTTGGGGATTTGGGATCCGGAGGGGTCTGGGATGGGAGGGTGGGGGTGGGGAAATTTGGGATTGGGAGGGGATGTTTGGGATTCCCAATTTTTCACCACCCCAAACCCCAAAATTCCCAATTTTTGCCCCTCCCAGACCCCAAAATTCCCAATTTTTGCCCCTCCCAATCCCCAAAATTCCCATTTTTTACCAAAATTCCCAATTTTTGACCGCGTGGATGAAGTGCAAAAATTCATTTTATTCAACAAAGCCAAAAAAACCAAAAGGGGAGGGGGCCCAGAATTGGGGTTTTTTTGGGGGGGTCTCCCCAAATTTTGGGGACTCCTCCCATGGGGGGTCCCCTGACTCCTGATTGGTGGGGGGTCCCTTTGTGGTTTTGGGGTGATTTTAGGGATTCTTTGGGGTTTTGGGGTATTTTTGAGTTTTTTAGGGTTTGTTTTGGGGTTTCCACCCCAAATTTTGGGGTTCCCACCCCGAATTTTGGGGTCAAAATTCCCAATTTTTGCCCCTCCCAATCCCCAAAATTCCCATTTTTTACCAAAATTCCCAATTTTTGACCCTCCAAACCCCAAAATTCCCAATTTTTGCCCCTCCCAATCCCCAAAATTCCCATTTTTTACCAAAATTCCCAATTTTTGACCCTCCAAACCCCAAAATTCCCAATTTTTGCCCCTCCCAATCCCCAAAATTCCCATTTTTTACCAAAATTCCCAATTTTTGACCCTCCAAACCCCAAAATTCCCAATTTTTGCCCCTCCCAATCCCCAAAATTCCCATTTTTTACCAAAATTCCCAATTTTTGACCCTCCAAACCCCAAAATTCCCAATTTTTGCCCCTCCCAATCCCCAAAATTCCCATTTTTTACCAAAATTCCCAATTTTTGACCCTCCAAACCCCAAAATTCCCAATTTTTGCCCCTCCCAATCCCCAAAATTCCCATTTTTTACCAAAATTCCCAATTTTTGACCCTCCAAACCCCAAAATTCCCAATTTTTGCCCCTCCCAATCCCCAAAATTCCCATTTTTTACCAAAATTCCCAATTTTTGACCCTCCAAACCCCAAAATTCCCAATTTTTGCCCCTCCCAATCCCCAAAATTCCCATTTTTTACCAAAATTCCCAATTTTTGACCCTCCAAACCCCAAAATTCCCAATTTTTGCCCCTCCCAATCCCCAAAATTCCCATTTTTTACCAAAATTCCCAATTTTTGACCCTCCAAACCCCAAAATTCCCAATTTTTGCCCCTCCCAATCCCCAAAATTCCCATTTTTTACCAAAATTCCCAATTTTTGACCCTCCAAACCCCAAAATTCCCAATTTTTGCCCCTCCCAGACCCCAAAATTCCCAATTTTTGCCCCTCCCAATCCCCAAAATTCCCATTTTTTACCAAAATTCCCAATTTTTGACCGCGTGGATGAAGTGCAAAAATTCATTTTATTCAACAAAGCCAAAAAAACCAAAAGGGGAGGGGGCCCAGAATTGGGGTTTTTTTGGGGGGGTCTCCCCAAATTTTGGGGACTCCTCCCATGGGGGGTCCCCTGACTCCTGATTGGTGGGGGGTCCCTTTGTGGTTTTGGGGTGATTTTAGGGATTCTTTGGGGTTTTGGGGTATTTTTGAATTTTTTAGGGTTTTTTTTGGGGTTTCCACCCCAAATTTTGGGGTTCCCACCCCGAATTTTGGGGTCCCCCTTAGATGAGGTCCAGCAGGATGTTCTCCTCCATCACCTGAGGGCCTGCAGACCCCTGATTTGGGGTGGTTTTGGGGAAATTTTTACGTTTTTAAGGATATTTTGGGTGGTTTTTTGGGGTTCCTACCCCCAAATTTTGGGGTTCCCACCCCGAATTTTGGGGTCCCCCTTAGATGAGGTCCATCAGGATGTCCTCCTCCATCACGCTGGGGGTCTGCACGGGCTGGAGCCCCCCCGGGGGGACGGGACCCCGCGGGCCGGGGGGCAGCAGCATCTGCCCTGGGGGGGGCACAGGGGGGTCAGGGGGGACCCCAAAACCACCTGGGGGGGTTCAGGGGGGTTTTGGGGGATCCCGGGGTGGTTTTGGGGGGTCCAAGGAGTGGTTTTGGGGTTCCCAGGGATTTTGGGGATTTCTGGGGTCATTTTTTGGGGTTCCAGCCTTGGGTTCTGGGGTTCCCAGGCTTGGATTTTGGGGGTCCCAGTGGTGGTTTTGGGGTTCCCAGGGTGATTTTGGGAGTCCCGGGCTCATTTTGGGGTCCCAGAGGTGGTTTTGGGGTTCCCGGTTTGGGTTTTGGGGTTCCCAGGGATTTTGGGGGTTTCTGGGGTAGTTTTTTGGGGTTCCAGCCTTGAGTTTTGGGGTTCCCAGTGGATTTTTGGGGTGTTTTTTGGGGGTTCCCAGGGTGATTTTTTTGGGTTCCCAGGTGATTTTTGGGGTGTTTTTTGGGGGGCTTCCCAGGGTGGTTTTTTTTTGGGTTCCCAGGGGATTTTTGGGGTGTTTTTTGGGGGGTTCCCAGGATGGGTTTTTTGGGTTCCCAGTGGATTTTTGGGGTGTTTTTTGGGGGAGTTCCCAGTAGAATTTAGGCTTTCCCAGTGGATTTTTGGGGTGTTTTTTGGGGGCTTCCCAGGGTGGTTTTTTTGGGTTCCCAGTGGATTTTTGGGGTGTTTTTTGGGGGGGTTCCCAATAGAATTTAGGCTTTCCCAGTGGATTTTTGGGGTGTTTTTTGGGGGCTTCCCAGGGTGGTTTTTTTGGGTTCCCAGGGGATTTTTGGGGTGTTTTTTGGGGGAGTTCCCAGTAGAATTTAGGCTTTCCCGGAGTGTTTTTTTTGGGTTCCTAGTGGATTTTTGGGGTGTTTTTTAGGGGATTTTTGGGGTGGTTTTTTGGGGTTCCCAGGGGGGATTTTTGGGGGATTTTTTGGGGTTTTTCACTCACCTGGGATTGGAGCTCGTGGCCCCCCCAGCTGCCCCGGCCAGGGCTGCCCCGGGGGGGGGTGCAGGAGGGGCAGCTGCCCCCCCCCCGCCCCCAGGGCCTGGTGGGGAGGGGGCAGCAGGGGCTGAGCCTGGG